TTTATCCTGTTCATTGTGTGTTTAAATGCTCTTGTTTTATCCTGTTCATTGTGTGTTTAAATGCTAAAAAAACAATGAACAGGATAAAACAAGAGCATTTAAACACACAATGAACAGGATAAAACAAGAGCATTTATTTCTTAATGGCTTCCAAAACGATAAAGATCTTATCCCAACATCACCCTTGTCCTGCCCCAATCGTCCGCTCCTTCCGTGTGCCACGCCCCCTCGTTAACCTCCTGTGGGATCCCCATGTGATCAGCTGTTTCTGGTTGTTGTTATTAGTCCTCTGTATGAAGTCCGCATTTCAGTTTGTTTCCCCAGTCTGGTCATTGGCTGCGTTCGACTTGCTTACAGCTGGCTTAAAGCAACGCATTCTGATCCTGACGCAATGCATTACGGTTAGATGCATTGCGACCTCTCATCCGGCTGCACAAACTGGAACCGCCTCCGTGACGACACACCTTTGCCTTTATTGGCTAAAGAGTTTAGTTACACGTACGACGTTTGTATCCCAGGCAGTTCCGATGCGTAATCTGCTATTTCTCCCGAATATCACGTAAAGCAGTGAGAACTGGTTTTCAGTTAATTTACCTGGTAAAATAAAGTTTCAATTAATGACATTAAATGCTCTAATAGTACACGTAAGTTAGTGGTTTATTTATTGTTAGTTATTGTAATGTTGCACTGCTTTATTTGATTAATCGTCCAGTCTGTGAAGAAGGCATTCAAGTAAGAATTGCATTGTAGTCTGTACATGACAATAAAAACTTTGAATCCGGTCCATTGTTTATTTGTATTATTGCTCTGTATTCGTTAATTTGTTCGTAATTAGCAGACTTTTAGGTTGTAACATTTGTACAACTATTACGTAACTTTTTGGTGAGCAATGGCTAACAAAATTATATAAAGTACAGTGTATTACCTGATACAGTATTTTCAATAAAATAACATTATCACCAACAAGCACTGCTACTACAGCAAATGCGAGGCTGACACTGAAGCGTTACCTTTTGTTTCTGCTCAGAGACGTGCCGTGTGACTCATTTCCTGGCGCGTACAATTTATATTAGGTCAGCGTTCACGATTCGACTTCTGATATTCAGATCGAGTTCTAGGTTTCAAGAAATTCGAGTTCTAGTGAGTTCGAGAACAGAGGTACCACTGTATATATATAAAATTCATTATCAATTTATTTGGAAATATATATTTTTTTGCATATATAAAAAAATGCAACATATTTTCCTATTCATCAATTTACACATTTATTTTGTTAAATTATATATTTTTTTTTCATTTTCTTAATAACCAACAACAATTATTTACAAACAACCTTTGTAAAGGTTGGAATAAAATATAATAGCTTGTTAACTAAAAATTCCATTTATTAAAAAAACTTGAGAGAACTCCCTCCATTTGCTCATCTTTTTAACAGTTTGTAAAAAGATAATTTGGATTTCTTGCTGAATCATAAAAGCTGAGCATAAAAGCCTGTTCCTATTTTAGATCTATTTTTGTGTGTTTTCTTGGCTTTAGAGCTGTTAATTCCACCTATGGTGATGTTGCCTGTATTCCCGCTATTGAACGTCAATTCCTCTACTGTCTGAGTAATGCAATTACAGCTAAAAACTAAAAGATTCATTTAAATTTTCGTCGATTCTAATCGTCATAAATTTGCATCATGATCTATCAATGCACAATATATTGTTACCTGCCTACTTTCAGCAAACTTGGTGCTGATTTATAAATCCCACTATTCAGTGTCACCAAGGCATGGATGGGTTATGTTTTGAGTCTGGTTCCTCTTAGGGTTTCTTCATCATATCTCGGGGAGTAGATTCATATGAAAGGCCTTGGAGAAGAAAGTTTTGATTCATTTTCAAGTTTTTCAAAAATACTGGGAAAAATGGGCGTGACCAGATGCAATAGATTCAGGAGCTTCCAAGGAATCATAGAAAAGAATAATTTATGATTTATCCCATACAGTTTCCAAGATATGAGCCAAAATGTAAATGGGCTTATTATAGTTTCACCGCTGGGAGCATGTGTGTCATTTTTGGTGTGAGGTGTGGAGTCCATTTTTCACCAGCCCTCTGAAGGGTTTCTACATAACTTCTACAGTCTAGGATGTGGTACCACATAACCCTAACCCTATGGGGGGGGGATCTGAACAAAAACAATAGGGTTCCAGCAGCTTCCAGGCTTGGACCCCTAAAAAGTAAAAAGACCCTGGTTAACAGCCTGAAATTAAAGGCTAATATACTGACAGCTGGATAACTAGGCAAAATCTTGCAGTGCAGTGAAGGGCAGAGGTTAAAGAAAAGTATTTTTAAAGCAATGAATGGAGTCCTTAAAATCTCAACTGTAGCTGAAACCTGTAACTGTATCTATCTTCTTTCTTTCAGATCAAGGCATCTAAAGTGAAGGCATTGATTATAGAGAAGAAATAATGGGTAAGTATTTCAATATATATATGAATTTTATTAATATGTTTTACGTATGTCTGTCTATCTTACATGCCATTTGTCAGTAAGTTATGTTTTCTATTTTTCCTGTATAGAAGAACTTACCAGCACTCCCATTGATAAATGGACAGAGTCCATGGTGAGCTCATGGCTGGCTTCAATAGGAATTAAAGATCAATACATTGAAACACTTCATGAAAAGGAAGTTAATGGCAAAGTCCTCCTTAAAATCACAGAGCAATTTCTGAAAAAAGAGACTGAAATGAAACCTGGTCCTGTACATCTGATAATAGAGAGCAGAAATGAGTTAGTTAAGACTCAAAAAGCTCAGAAGCAGCAGAATAAAGCACCCAAGAGCACTGCTGAAAACACAAACCAAGGAGCTTCATTCATCCCAGAGCTTCCAATATCCAGCAATTCCCAGAAAGAACAACAGATGAACCAAGACACTATAGCAAGAAAAAGAGATTCAAAGCCACGACCTTTTGGCAAACCAGGCATTGACCACACATATGTAAAGCATGATGTTCTTCAGCCTGAAACAGGGGTCAGTAATCTTATAACTCCATGCCATGAGTACAAGGCATTCGATACAGCTGCGACTTTAGATGCCAGAAGAATTAAAGCCAAGCTGGCATATGAAGTCCTTAAATTTGCCACAGGATGCATTAACATGAGAACAAATGGCACAATACACTTTGGGGTAATGGACAACCAGGAGAAAAAGTCTGGCTACAAACACGGTGAAATCATTGGCATTCCAATTAAGGAACAATGTGTGTATACTGATGCACTGGATTACATAGAAAGGTGTTTTGATAGTGACAGAGAGCTTGTACGGCAGTGTATAAGACCCCCAGAGTTCATTCTGGTAACTGAGCCCAACAGGAAAGAACAACACTATGTGGTTGAATATGATGTCGAACCTTCAGTTAGCATAGTGAGAAATGGGGTGTTTTCTGTCAGGTTGGTGAAGTTCAGTGAAGAGTCTGGAAGAATTGAACAGGAACCAGAAAAAATGTATTGCAGAGTTGGAGCCTCAACAAAACCAGTTGAAGGTATGAGTGGATTTTTAGAAGGAGTCAATCACAGAGATGCTCGAAGAGAGAAGGCAGAGAAGTCCTTTTTGCCAGAACCCTGCCAAGATCTTGAAAGGAAACTCATCATGCTTATAACAAGTGGGAAGAAACAAATGGAAAAGGAGAAATGGTACATACTTGTTACAAACAAGTTTTCAGGGGAAGATCTTAAGAATGTGGATTTTTTTATGAACATGAAGTTATTCTGTGTGTTTGACTTTGATCCAGATTCCAAGGTGTCTGGATTATGCCATGAATATGCTAAGCACCATGCAGTGAACCTTCACTTCATGCAAAACTACAAAATTCCAAGTGACAAGAACATCAGAGAATTTGAGAGTCATCTACATCTGTTTGAACAAACCAGTTGGATATTTTGTAATGGACGAAATGATTTCAGTGGGAATGAAACTCCCTGTGATGAGAATACATGGTGTAGAACAAGGAGGACTTTCCTTAAAGATTGTGTGTCACTGATCTGCAAGGATATCTTACCCAAGGGAACCTTCCTTGTCATCTTCCTCCTCATGTCTCCTGTTGAGATACCTCTACTGAAGACATTCGATGAGTTTTTCACTGACATGCAAGGTCATGAAGACATTATATGCATCTCAGAATCAGAAGGAAACTTTCAGAAATGGCGAGCATCTGCTGTTGAATTCTGTGATGGGGAAACAGTGAACAATTCGAGTATAGTAGGTTTGAAAATGAGCCACGTCAGTGCAACTGTCCAGCAAATCCAGGGCCCTAATACTCGTGTGAATAAACTCTTACCTGTGTCTGTCAAAGCAAAATGCCATCTACTGACACGTGATGAGGAAACTATGTCGGCTTTGGAGGTTTTAGGTGTGAATCAGTGTGAAGAAATCAGTGCAGAGTTCATTGAGTCAAAGAAAGAAAAAATAGACAGAGACTTTTATCGAGGAGGAAAAGTTAAATGGATGAACTTGTGGCTTGCAGAAGTTGGAGAAGTTGGGGAAGTGATTCAAAGAGATGCCTATCATGAGGTGATTAATCTTCTGGATGCCTCTCTTAAATTGAGCTCAGAACAAAAGCCTGTCAAATGCATCAACATATACCATTACGCTGGCAGTGGAGGGAGCACAGTGGCAAGGCAGGTTCTGTGGAAGTACAGAAAGGATCTGAGGTGTGCAGTTGTGAAACCATCATATGCTGTTGGCACAGTTTCAAAACATGCTGTGATGCTTCGGGAGTATGAGGAAAAAGATCCAGAGAAATGTCTCCCTGTTCTTTTACTCATTGACGATTGTGAGAGGGAATATTTAGAAGAGTTAAAGCATGAGTTAGAAACAGCTATCAACACAAAGAAGATTGCAAATGGAATACCGTGCTTCATTCTCCTCAGCTGTAGAAGATGCCACAATCCAGAGAAAATGTCGAAGGAGTCGCCTTTACTGAGTGTCTCTGTGACTCACAAGCTTTCACCAACCGAGAAAACACATTTTGCTAGAAAGCGACAAAACCTCGAGAAACAGTTTCAGCCAGAGTTCATTCTGACATTTGTCTTAATGAGTGAAGAATTTGAACATGAATATGTGGAAAAGTTTGTAGAGCATTTATTACAGGACATTGTTCTCACATCTGTTGACACCCAGCTGATTCAATTTGTAGCTCTGCTTAACACCTATGTGGAGAACTCGTACATTTCTCAGTCACATTGTGAAGCCCTCCTTCAACTCCAGCTCACTTTCTATGGAGAAAGATTCGGACAACACGCGTTTGAGAATTCTCTGAGTGAGCAGGCTAAATTGGTCTTTATACATTTAAAAGATGAAACAACCCACATCAACTCGATCAGAATCATCCACCAAGTGGTGGCAAAAGAAATTCTCCATCAGCTTTTGGGACAAAAACAACAAAGTGAGCTTGCGCTTGAAATTCTTAGAAACAACGTTCTCTTTAATCACAGATTTGGGGGAACGCAGTACAGGAAGTTCCTTCGTGAGTTGTTCATAAGACGCTACAAAATCAGCAGAGGTGACAAATCAGACACTTTTTTCTCACCCCTCATTGAACATGTGAGAGAAAAAGAAACGGCAGAAAATGCTATTGAGCTTCTTCATGAGGCATACAAAAGATTCAGCGAGGATGCATTTTTTGCTCAACAGCTAGCTCGCCTCTATTACCGACATGAAAGATTTGACCTTGCAGAACGTTGGGCAGAAACTGCAGCAGCTAAACTGCCTAAGAACTCCTACATTCTTGACACAAAAGGTCAGGTGTACAGAAAATGGTTCACAACAAAAAACAACAGAATAGAAAAATGTCAGAGAACACCAGAGTCCATAGCAGATGCCATTGAGACAGCTCTTAAAGCCATTGAATGTTTCCAAAAATGTCAGTTGGTTGCTGTTGAAGAAACTGAGACCATGAACAACTCGGGATTTGTTGGAGCTATAGAAGTTGGGTGTAACTTGTTGGAGCTAATTTCTTCACTTGATGTTTTCTCAAATAAATATGGGGATCATTCTGAATTACAGAAGTACTTGCTTACAGAATACATTCCCAAAGAAGTTGAAGCACCATGGGAACACTTCCACTACAAACTCAAAAGTCTCCAGCTCACAATGCACAAGGCATTCGAGTGGATGTCAGAAGAACTGAGTTATTTCCAAAACCAAGACACTGCTGAGGAGGAAACCTCCAAAACCTCAGAGCTGACAATACATCGCCCCAAACACTGGCTGGCTGGCAAGTCCTGTGTTTATGGAAAGTTCTTCTGTGAGGTCTCACTCAGCAGCACACCCAGTAACTTGCAATCTCAATTAAATAACATGAGCGACTTCAGCAAACGCATGGCTATCTACCAGCTCGGGGGAGGAAACATTACAACAATCTTTTCCATCCTGGACCAGAAAAAAAGAGAACAAGACAAAACTTTGGAGAATATAATTTCACTGTATCCAAAAGGTGCTAAAATGGATCAACTGGAATTTGGCAACTACACAGCATCACATTTTGCCTTAAGTGCAATCTCTCCAGGTTCACGTTACCTGTCTGTCCTCAAACATCTGCAGAAGCTGAGCAGACCGTTTCTTCAAGACAAATCAAAATGTCCATCAAGTGTTCTGTTTCTGTGCACACTACTGTTTTGGCCAGAAAAATTTGATGTTGATCAAGAAAAAGAGGAGAAATATAAAACAATCCTTACTGCTGTCAAATTCCTCCAACAAACATACAAGGCCAAAATGAAGGATATCCCTGTCAGAAGGAGGCGGATTTACACCCACTTCTACCTGGGAAAAGGATCTGGGTATGAGAAATTTGTCCACAAGAATAAAATTGAAACGATCAGAAAATTTTCCTCTGTTTCAGAAAAGCGTCAAAAATGGCTTGAAGGGGGAGTGTGGAAAACACCGGAAATTGCTGGAGAGCTCATGCGTGTAAACGGCTGGACAGAAGATGGAAGTGTGTATCTTGAAGGTCCTAAAACTGAAAAGTTTTTCGTTCATCCCCTTAATGAAAGTTCCGTGCCTGCTGGAAATGAAAACGTCACCTTCTACGTAGGCTTCACGTTCAGGGGACCTGTTGCATGTGACATCACAATAAGAAAATAGACAAAAGTCAAGCTGCTATGATGGAAACCAAAAGTAACAGCTGACTGATGTGAAGTATCCCATCCTCAGCTTGTAGTATAATACACTCCTGAGTGAACTGAGAGCTGAGGCATAATGGCTAACCAGCGAGCATTTATACTGTAAATAGTAGTGTAAAAGGCCAATTTTGTAAAAAATGTACATATATATATATATATATATATATTAGGGCTGTCAAAATTAACGGGTTAACGCGGATTAATCCATCATCATGATTAATCTGATTAAAATTTTTAACGCAATTAACCCATCTGCAGCGCAGAATGACTCAAAATCCCTGAAATGTCTCTGGCAACCCATTTCGGGCAGTTTTGGTGTGTTCCATTTGCCCTGGGAACTCGTATTCCGAGTCGGATTCCGAGTATTGAAGCCAGAAGTGATGACATATCTCGGAGCAGCACAGAGAATCCCGAGTTCAGAATCAATTAACCGGGCTAGAATTGGATTCCATGATTAGTCTGATTATTTGTCGGATTTACAGTAGTTCGGGCTATTGTAAGTCAACGAAGATGAAGACCATTTTAACTGAGGTACCTTAAATACGACAAATTGTCCGGCTAAGCAAAAAATCTTGCTTTTTGATATGGGTCCATGGTATTGCACTTCTTTGGCAGATGGAATGCATCCGACTCGTGTTCAAGATGTTCAATAAACATGTTAAGTGCATATATATTCCCTTTTTACTTGAGTCTGCTTGCTCATGCAAAATGAAATGTGATTAATATAGATTAAAAATGAATAATATTTCATCGTGATTAATCTAAATTAATCCACAGCAACCCTGTGATTAATCTGATTAAAATTTTTAATCGTTTGACAGCACTAATATATATATATATATATATATATATATATATATATAAGCAAAGGATTTTTACATTCTTGTGTAATTGTGTATATTTTTGTGATCCAGTGGACCCGCCAACCTTTATGCGTTTATGTATTTTACAGAACTCTGCATTTAACTCTGAGTATGAGGCGACAAGTTATCATGCAAAAAATTACACAAAAAAGAGGAGTCTTAATATGAAGTCTTATTTCCTTTAACAACAGCAGATGAGCCAAATATGAATGTGGAATGATTGACAGTTGTAGTTGTGTAGGTGTACCCCTGAAAGCCCCGCCCCCCTTCCCTCTCTCTCTCTCGTCTCAGGTTAGGAGCTCTCGTTTTGATTTTTCCACTTGATATGACATCCTCGAATTCTGTGATGGTAAATGGAAAACGTTTCGAGATAATTCATGTAAAATAAGATCAGTGTGTCCCCTTTAACACCCAAAATGTCTACAGATAACATCAGTTCATTAGATTTATTAGAGATCACACACCAAACATTTTTAACAAAGAAAAAAAATTCATAAAAAGACGACTGACAACACAGTGTCAAATCTAAACCTGTACAAATAATTTTCATAGTAACGGTGATTAGAAGGCGACTGTAAAGCCTCCTGTGCTGGTCAGATGCATTTACATGGTTGGATAAGATGAATAACACCATAAGCAGAGTCTGTGTGTTTAGCTGTGTTTTCTCTCTTTGGTCTGAAAGAGACTTTCATTCAGTTCTTATAATATGATAATCAGTAGTTAAAGTTAAACTAATAGGAAAGTGATGACTCGTGGGGGCTTAATGGGTTTATTTTTTTGGCATCTTTACATTTTTTCTGTTATGTACTAATGTTTGAATTAATGCATCATAAAATGTTCTTGCTGATCCATGTCACTCAATAAACAGACATTTTTTTGTTTTCTTAATTTGTTGGTAGGAATTGAAGGAAAATTTTTCCTTTTTGTTTGAATTATTTTAAAAATGATTTTGTTAAGGAAGTCCTCTGAATTCATGGTCATTTGCTTATATTCTGTGCCTCTTCATGTTAAATATGTGGAATATGTCGTCTTTGTCACTCTTAGTCTAATCTCAGAGCAGCCCCGGGTCAGAGGTGACCTTACCTCCAGCTCCTCTCTTTCTTCTCTGCTATGAACATAAACCTGCTCATCTGTAGACAGAGTTCCTAACACTGGGTGCCATGTGCTGGGTGGCACATTAACACTCCTCTGGTGAGATATGCCAGGAGAGAAGCTGGCCGAGTTCACAGCAGCGACGAGGTCAGTATGAGGGAGATCCTCTCAGAGACTGAGGGTTTATTGCTGCTGTAGCACGGCTAGCTGGAAATCTCCTACCATAAAACCCATAAAATCAGAATGGTAGTTACAGAAGGTCAGAAATTCCTTATAATGTTGCCTGACTTTAAAAGGAAACGCTGCCTCTCTGTAGGTGAGACAGTTAGGTTAGCAAGGATAGTAACAAAATCCCTTATCTGTAAATAACAGAAGAAATCCTGTTTTGGAATGTCATATTTTTCCTATTAATTAACTAAAAGACATTAAAGTGGGTCCATCTAATAAGTCATACAAATTAAGGAACCCTTTAGTTGCCCAGACTCTGAAGCCACCGTCAGCCATTCCTGGTCTAAAATCTGAGTTATCACATATTGCAGTAAAGAGAGAAGTAATTCTAGACAGACTCTCCAGTTTCCTGATCATCCAGCATGCTGTAAGAGTGCACAGTGTAATTGGGTTATTGCAGGCAAGTGTTATAGACTTAAGTCTTTTAATAAAGTAAGTTTACTGAGGGGAGTGCAGACATAGAATCTTCTATATCAAGCCAAAGGGAGGCTTGTTCATTACGTATCCATCCTACTAGAGTGTGTAGATGAGCACTGAGTTGATATTTTCGAATGTCATGGAGGTCAAGACCCCCCTCAGAGGGTGACAGACATAAAGTGGATATTTTTAACTGGGGTTTCTTTTTAGCCCATATAAAGGAGCTGAACCAGCTGTTTAAGTTTTTAATAGTTTTATGTGAAAAAACGGCAGGTATCAGGTATATGAATTGGGTATAATAGCCTAGGGAGTATGTTCATTTTTAAAAGGGCGACACGATCCAGCCAGGAGATGGGAAGTTTATTCCATCTCTCTAGGTCAAGCCTCATATGCTCAAATAGGGGAATAAAATTTCTTTTATACATTTGGTCAAAAGTGGGTGTTATAAATATTCCCAAGCTTGACACCAAGACCGGTCTCGAGACATCCAACTCTAGAGATAGGTGACATACCAGGGGAGGATTTGCCCATAATTGGATTTAAATGGCAATTAATGAAACTGATGAAAAAGTTCCTAACATTAAGATCATCTAGTTTAGATAAAGCTGTAGTTAAAAATCACATGGATGTCCAGGGGGACAGTAGACATTCAGGATAGCAATTTTTTCTCCATGTACTACACCACTTACAATTAAATAGCATCCTCCTGCATTCTTTATACAATTTATAAGTTTAAATGGTAGATTTTTTTAAACAGAATAGCCACCCCTCTACTCCTTGATGTATGTGAAGAATAGAAAACCTGTTCAAATCCCTCTCTCTGTAACTTTGTGTTCCTCATCATTTAAGTGAGTTTCCTGTAATAATGCCACATGCACCCTCTCCCTTTTCAAGCACGTTAACCTTCATCCTTTTAACAGGTGTATGAAGACCATTAACATTCCAGGTACATGTATTCAACATAGATATGGCCATAAATTAGCAAGTGAAACATTTTCTGAGCACATACTTTGCCTATAAATTAACTCGTTGTTAAAAGAGAACAGGGGCTGAGTTAGAATGCAACACACCAGCACACACAACTATAATACATATAGCCAGTAACTGAACATTTGAAGACAAACTCACTTAACATTGGCATTGAGTGTTAACGCTGTCTTTCTCCTAGGAATAAGAACGCTGCAGAAGCTCTCACACCATCAACATGTAGCAGTGAGGACTTCATGGATTTTTTCAATGGCAAAATTGATAATATCAGGCAAAAAAAATTCAGTGTTTGAATCCAAGGCCAGACAATCTGACGACTAACTCTTTAGACAACAATACAGCTATATCGGATCGTTTGGAATGTTTTACCTCCCTTCAAGAGTCTGATCTAATCTCACTAATTTCTTCTTCAAAGTCATCAATCTGTATATTACATCCTTTACCTACACATTTCTTCAAACAGATCATTCCAGAAGTAAACCTGTTTTAAATATAATTAATTCTTCCATTAGCACTGGCTACGTACCTAAATCCTAAATCAGTAATTAAACCACTGATTAAAAAACCTGACCTTGACCCCAGTCAGCTGTCCAACTACAGGCCAAAATCCAACCCCCCCTTTATTTCTAAAATCTTAGAAAAGGCTGTAGCTTCCACTGTTATGCTGATGACACACAGTTTCAGCAAAGCCAGATGAGAGACACCAGATTAATAAAATTGAGGAATGTGTTAAGGACATTAGACAATGGATGTTTACTAACTTCCTTCTGCTTAATTCTGATAAGACAGAAGTACTTGTATTAGGACCACTCACAGATAGAAGTAAGCTTTCTGATTACATAGTAACTCTGGATGTAACGTCAGTGCGATTGACTCCAGTCTCTCATTTGAAGTTCACATAGTTAACATTACTAGAACAGCCTTCTTTCATCTCCGAAATATTGCGAAGATAAAAAAATATGATGTCAATACACAATGCTGAAAAACTAGTTCATGCTTTTGTTACTTCTAGGTTAGATTATTGCAATGCCTTACTGTCTGGATGTTCCAGTAGGTACATAAACAAGCTCCAGTTAGTCCAGAATGCAGCAGCAAGAGTCCTTACTAGAACAAGAAGATACAAGCACATCACCCCTATCTTACGTACACTGCATTGGCTCCGAATCAAATTTCGCATCGATTATAAAATACTACTGCTAACCTATAAAGCATTGAACGGTCTCACGCCTCAGTACCTGAGTGAACTTCTTTTATAATCCGCCACACCTGCTTAGATCAAAAGGTACAAGCTATTTGTTGGTACCTCAAATACTGAAGGCTACAACAGGGGACAGATCTTTCTCTTATAAAGCCCCAAGTTATGGAAGAGCCTTTTAAAGTGTTCGGGACTCACAGTCTCAGTGTTTAAGTCTAGGCTAAAACATATTTGTTTAGTCGAGTCTTTTGTTAATAGCTTTTTATTAGGTAAAGGAGCAGATCTGAAGGGATCTCAGGCATAGAGTCTTTTGGTAGACTGGGATGTTTAGATGCTGCCCCCCACCTCACAAGTTCACTCAGGTTTGTTGATGGTGGAGTGACTGGATGCTTTATTTCCCA